GGGGCCACAGAGACAGAAGCAGAATCCTCCCAGCGAAACTTGAGGAAGCAGAGTGCCCCTATGCCAGCTGGGGCGGCTGCTGGCTAGGGCACCCCCGTCCCTGAGGCAGCGAGGGCCGGGGGCCACCTCCTCCCCTCTCTCTGGAGAGAGTACAGTGGTTCTTGCTGTACTCACAAAATTAAAGATCTGAAAGATGTGAGGACTGATCTTGGTTTCTATGGCAACCTGAGAATAACTCACATTTCGCAGCCCAGCTGAGGGTGAACATTCTTCTCCCCCACATTATGGGTGGCCAATTATTTTTAATAGCCAGGTCAGTGCTGGCCGTCCTATCAGCCGCCCCCAGTCTTCGTTAGCACCCCAGGCAGGGGCCACATGAGGCAGCAGCCACGTGAGGCAGTGGCCACAGGAGTTCATTAAGAGACCAAGCTATGGTGGGAGCCAAGATAGCAGAGGCTCTGGGGCACCTGGGAGAGCAGCTCTGGGCTGGCCCAGGTGTCACCAGCCAACAGGAGGGTATGGCTGGCAGCCTGCTCCACTAGCTGGCTGGTGGTCTGCAGCGTCCTGCCTCCAGGGGAGCCTGGAGGATCAGGGGCCAACTGCAAACAGCAGGTGTTCAATAAAGGCCTAGGCTCTGGCCCCACCAGCCAGTCTCCATGCTGCTGGGCCAGCCTCACCCCACTGCCTAGGTCAGCTCCCTGCTCCAGTGCTCAGACACAGCTTCTGGGCTGGGTTGGGGTTGGAATGTGGCGTGATTAAGACTGGGGTTGGATTGGAGTTGAGGTTAGGTTGGAGCTGGGTTGCGTTTCGGGTTAGGTTTGGGATTCAGGTTTGGACTGTGGTTGTGGTTAGCGTTAGGGTTGTGGTTAGCATTAGGGTTGTGGTTGTGGTTAGGGTTGGTGTTGTCGAGGCTGAGGAGAAGGTTAGGGTTGGGTAGGTGAGATGGTGAGGTGCACCTGCTGGGCTGCCCAGGGTTGCTATAGGTGGGCTGTCAGCCCTGCCCACACCCCAGAGCACCCAGACATCTCAACTTCACCCTTCTCTCCAAGGTCCGGGCCGACCCATTTCTGATGCCAGAGACACCGGGCTGGGGTATCATGAACCTGTGACACTGTGGGTGCTGACTGGGCTCTGAAGAAAATATGATGACAGAAAGGCAGGGGGTGAGCGCTGGCTGGGGAGGGCACGGGGTGCTGCTCCGTGGGGAGCAGGTCCCAGCTCCCCTCAGCCTACACCCACCTTCATGCCTGTGTGAGTCGCCCCCAGGAGGAAGTGGCAGGTGCCACAGTCTCCCCCGTCACAGGTCGCAGCTCCCAGGACCAAGTCTCTCTTGTTTTGTTTTTGATAGATTTGGAAATCACAGCAAATGAATAATTTCACAAATACCCCCCCAGCCACAATCCAGAATTAGCTGCTGTTAACGTCTGAATCATCACGTATTGAAGAAGCTGAAGAGAGCATATGAAACATGGTTTTAAAAGCACACGAATACATTGCATATTGGACCATTTGACGTGCAGACCTGTGACCAAGTGCGGGCACAGCCCGGGCACCTCCAGCCCTCACAGTCCTCTCTGCCCCCGAGCCCTGCACTGCGGGCCGAGTGCTTCCACACACACTGCTCACACAAGCTGGCTGCACATGGCACCGTGTCCACGTGCTGCATACAGGAACAGGTGTGTCGTCAGTGGCCCCAGCGGGGCTGGGCCTGTGGGCCTGGAACCCCAGCCCCAGCCCACAGCAGCCCCGGCCCACAGCAGCCCCGGCTCACAGCAGCCCCGGCCCACAGCAGCCCCGGCTCACAGCAGCCCCGCCAGGAGGAGTGGTACCTTCCTGAGCAAGCTCCATCACTCGTCTGAGCCTCCCATCTTTTCACATGGAAAGAGGGGCACCTCCCTGCTGGGGGTAATGTGGGGTGACCAGGAGGCCCCAGGTGGCAGTCCCCAGGGTCCTCCTGGCTGAGGTGGGGGTGACCAAGATGCCAGACCAGGTGCCCCGACCTCAGCACACAGCTGTCACCAGCAGCAGCCCAGCGACCCCCTCCCTGTCTACTCTGCTAGCCTCCCCCCACTCCCGAGTCCGTGCTGGCTTCGGCGACTCCGGCTCTGCCCTGACGGCCCCAGCACACCGCTGAGCACCCACAGCCCCAACTCCTGGACTGACCCCCTCTGTGCTCCTTGGGCACAGGCCCTGGTCTGCACCAAGCTCTGGGCTCCTTGCTGGTTGCAGCTGGCTTCTCCGGGCCTCGCCCCAGCGTGTCCACGCTGCTGTGTGCTCTGGGTCCATGATCTAGGATGAGACGACCATGCCCTCGCTTTCCCAGCATGCTCTGCGGGAATACGCACGTTCCCAACCACACTCCCTAGGGTGAGCTCTCGTCCTGTTTAGGTTCCTGTCCTTGTCCGGGCCACACGGCCAGCGGCTTGCTGCCAGGGTGACAGGGGTTTTGAACAGCGTGACGTGTGAGCCCCGACCTGTGGGGCATGCACAGGAGGCTCTGTGCCGTCACCCACCTCTGGCCTTGCCTTCTCTGCTCTGCTCCTTCCCCCTACACTGCCACAAGTCCTGCAGGCGTTCTATCCTTTAAAGAGATACACTTCAGTTTCAAATACTTTCTTGGGCTTGTAGTTTCCAGGCCTTTAGTGGGCGGGGCCATTGCTGCAGTCCCGTGGGTATGGGCGGGGTGGGTGGGGTCTGTTCTAATGGACCCATGCTGGGGAACCCCACCTCTGGGACTCAAAACACCCCAGCCACTTTGGCAGCAGGGAAAAAGGGGAGCCACTTGAGGCAGAGGAAGAGAATAAACAGATTATGTTAATTCATGCAACTGGATATTATGCAACCATTAAAGCCATGTTCTTGCAGAATTCTAATGACAGAGAATGCCTCGGATACTAGCAGAGCAAGATGTCCTAAGAAGCCCCAGAGCTGCTCCAGGCCCACGAGGGACGCGACAGGGGCAGCCAGAGGCCAGGCACCCCAGAGTGATGGAGCAGCAGCCTATGCCGCAGGGCCTGTCCTAACCTGGGGGAGCCCTACAGGGGCCCGGTGTCTGTCGGCAGCGGGGCAGCCACTGCACCCACCAGGTCCCTGTTCAGCCATGCCCTCATCTGCGAGCACTGTCCTCCATGGCCGGAAGATGAGAACCGCAGCTTACAGACCCGGTGACGCGACGGCGTCCATGTGTCCCGCCACCCCTGAGTCAGCCCCCAGCCGCCCCCAGGAGCCCGGGCGCCCCTAGCCCTCGTGGGGACCCTCTCACGGGCTCCCACTCCTTCCCGTGGGGCCTGCCTGCTCCCTGCGCTGGGCCCGCTGCGCCTGGTCCCGAGAATCCTGACACTGAGGATCTGGACTTGATCTTCTCAGACGAAAACATGCCTCCCGACTTGTCACTTTGGTTCCCTGCGACCACGGGGCACCCGGGTCCCCTCCCACGGGGCACCCTGCCACCACGCTGGGACCACGTCCCCTCCCACAGGGCACCCTGCGACCACGCTGGGACCACGTCCCCTCCCACAGGGCACCCTGCGACCACGCTGCGCCCGGGTCCCCTCCCACAGGGCACCCTGCACCCGTCCCTGCCCCCTCTCTGTTCTTGCCATGGGTCCCGTGTTCTGGAAGTCTCCTGCCATGCCAATTACACAAGCATCCAGCCACCTCAGGGTGGGATCCCTCTGGCACCATACAGGCCTCTACTCACTTTTGCCACTTGTCCATGAAATGAACAGGGTTCAGTGGTGTCCACGGCCACACACGCCCCGGCCCACTCTCCTGGGGGCACCATGCTTGGGGCTGAGGTGGTGTGAGAAGGCCTCCGCACTGGACAGAGACCCCCACGGGCTAGCAGGGAGTCCAGTGGGCAGAGCCAGCAAACCTCTGCCTATAGCCAACTCCACAACAGCTAGCAGCTGTGAGAGGGCAGCCCGCCGGGACAGCAGGGCCAGAGGGACCCTCAGCATGGGCACTCCCAGAGGGACCCTCAGCACGGGCACTCACAGAGGGACCCGCAGCACAGGCACTCACAGAACGGGCACTCCCAGAGGGACCCTCAGCACGGGCACTCACAGAGCGGGCACTCCCAGAATAGGCACTCCCAGAGGGACCCTCAGCATGGGCACTCCCAGAACGGGCACTCCCACAGGCCCAGGTGCAGGTGGCTTGCAGTCAGACCTTCCTGGGAAATCTGTCCCCACACCTGGACCTGCCAACACCCACAAAGCTTTTCCAAAATGGGGCTTCTCAAAGCCCAGGGCACCCCAGGGTGCCTCCCCCACACGTGCCAGGACCCCACCTGCCCCACAGGCCCTCCCTGGCCACTGGGGAGGGGGCAGCGGCAGTGCCCACAGGCCAGGCCTCTCCTGTGAGTTGGGCAGGGCTCTTGTTGGGGCCCTAGGGTTAGAGTCATCTGTAGGGTGGGGTGCTTGGGGACTCTGAGCACCTCCAGCTGCCCAAGGACCTACAGGCTCTGCCCGGGAGCCTCGCCTGGTCCCAGAGGGAGGGACAGTGACCAACAGAGCCACAGAGAGGCCAGCAGCCTGCACAGCTCCATGCTCCGGCCTGGGGACAAGAGAGGCAGTGGGCCACACTTCCACGCCACCCCTGCCCACAGGGGCAGGGCAGGCCCACAGCCTGTGGCTATCGGCTATCAGCAGAAGGTCAAGCTCTGCTGGAGAGGGGCATGGTGCACCACCTCTCCCAAAATGCTGGGCCCTGGGGGACGGCCTCAGTGACACAGGGTCAGGAGAGAATGTTCTGTGTGTTCAGGAGAGCCTTGCAGCACGGGGAGCCAGCCCAGGCCCTCGTGCAGGCAGACACCGAACAGATGTGACCACACGAAGGGGCCCGGGCATCCAGAGCCTGCTAGCCGGCAGCACCATGCTGCGCCAGATCCTGTGGGCTTTGGGTCTGGCCTCACGTTCATCTCTCATGCCTTGGAAGCATCAGCAGGCAACAGGTGCCAGCCCCAAGGGCACGATCCTGGAATCACAAGCCGAGGCTGTGGGCTTGATGACTGTGTCTTTATTTCTGGTGTATCAGAGGGCTTGGCCCGCACGCTGTCTCCCACAGCTGTGAGCACGCAGGCGGCCATCCACACCCCTCGTGCCCACCCCTCGTGTCACACCCACGGGACACGCAGGAGCTGGGAGAGCCTGGGAGGGGCCGCTGCCTCCAGCAGAGCCGCCATCAGAGAACGGCTCAGCTCAGTGAGGTGGGGAGCCCTGCACATGGACTCCAGGAGCAGAGGGAGGGGTCCCCTGGATGCTGGGATGGGTGGGGCCAAGGTGGGAGAGCAGGGACGCGCTCTGCCCCGCCGACTGGGAGCAGCAGACAAGCAAAGAATCCTGTGCTAATCTCTCTGCTGTCTGCAATGACCCAGAGTATTTAAATAGCAACAGGAACACACGTCACACGCCTGCACACTCCACAGCCTGGGTCGGTGGCCGGGGCATGGCTGTTCCCAAAAGCAGGTGGTGTGGGGGTGACAGTGGGTCCTCAAGCCAAGGCAAAGGCTGCCGCCTCATGTGCGGGTGTCCACCACATGGAACACAGGTGAGGCGAGCGCCAGAGCCCCTGTAGTAGCAAACTCAGACCAGGCAAGCTCCAGGGGCCCAGCACCATCAGGCAGGCTCGGTGGACAGGGAAGGGGCAGCGAGGCTGTGGGGACAGGGCCTGGCAGAGCTCCAGTGTGCAGGTGCCACAGTGGGATGCCCTACACCTGCTTGCTTGCTCACAGAGGCCCAGCTGCCCCCAGAGTGGAAAGCAGGCCTCCTCCCCACAGCCTCGGGAGCGTGTGCCCAACACAGACAAGGACATGCCCTCAGCCTGGGCAGTGGGCGCAGGGGCGCCAGGGCCCGGAAGTGCACTCTCTCTATTTTATTTTCTTTCACTCAACAAGATAAACTTGGCACTCCCAGGGAAGGACGAGATGGCAGCCACTGCCCCCTGCCCGGGGCCTCTGGGCGTGGGTCTGCCTCTGGGCTCGGGGCCCAGGAGGCGGTCATTTGGCAAGGACACTGCTGGGACCGGACGAGGGTGGCACCTGCCACACCTCAGCCCTGAGGCCAGGACCTGCCCCCTGGCTCTCTTTGGTATCTCAGAAGCAGGTGGCTCCCTCCCTGCCCGCCCCGGAGCGGGCCTGGGCCTGGCCAGTCCTGGCAGGACAGGACTCTACAGCAGAGCCTCGCCTGTCAGCAGTCTGGGCTCACTTCTTGTAGTGATTGGGGGCGTCGGCAAAGGCGAACTTGAGGCGGTAGGCCTCGGCCAACAGCAGGCTGACGTCCTGGTCATCCCAGTGGGCCGTGGGCAGGTTCTGCAGGAAGAGTAGCAGCTCCTGTGGAGAGAGAAGGACAGGCCGGTCAGGGAGGCACCTGTCAGGCGGGAGCCCAGCATCTCCCAAGCATGTGCAGATACCCCAGCATCTGACTGCCAAGCCAACACTCTCCCCTTGCAGCCGTGACCTGGGCACCTGCCAGGTTACGGAGCCCAGGAGCAGCTAAGGGCCCAACCCGGCCCACTGCCCACGGCAGCCCAACACCAGAAAACAGCTTCTTGTGGCAGGTGCAGCCGAGCTCTGAGGTAGAAATGCTGCCTGACAGTGCCCTAACCATGGCTGTCAGCAGCTGGCCCCCAGGGACATGCCCGCGATGCCTGGTGGCACAACCAGTGCCAGCTGAGAAGGGAGCTGAGCATGCTGGGCACACTGCTGGCAGCTGCCACTCACTGGGTTCCCAAATTTCAGGAAACAGGATTTCTGTGTTCCAGCCTTGGTACTAGAACACCCCGAGCTGCCCTGGCCCCGGGCTGCAGCGGGCAGGTGACACCCCAGGCTGTCCTAGCCCAGGCTGCAGCGGGCAGGCGACACCCCAGGCTGTCCTAGCCCAGGCTGCAGCGGGCAGGCGCCACCCCAGGCTGTCCTGGCCCCGGGCTGCAGCGGGCAGGCGACACCCCAGGCTGTCCTGGCCCCGGGCTGCAGCGGGCAGGCGCCACCCTGGGCTGTCCTGGCTCAGGCTGCAGCGGGCAGGCGCCACCCCGGGCTGCCCTGGCCCCGGGCTGCAGCGGGCAGGTGTAGGATGCGCTGAGAGAATGACTCAGTAACTGCAGTATGACTTAGTGCACGGCAGGTAGACCCAGGTGAGCCTAGAGCCTGAGCATAGGGCTGGCAGACAGCCAGAGCAGCAGCTGGTGACCAGCCAAAGGCACCCAGAGGGATGTGCTCAGAGCAGGACTCCGACCGTGTGGCCAAGGTGGCTGGCTTCATGGGCAAAGATGGGGCTAGATCATCGTTGCCATCTGCTCAGAGCCAGCCCTGTCCTGTGTCACTCAGGGGGCTGACAGCCCTGGCCTAGGCCAGGCACCCGCTGCCTCCTCCCGTACCCCGGGCCCATCAGAAGCCAGATCTAGGACGTTGGCAGTGCCCTCCTGGGATGCTGGTGCTGCCCCTTAGCAGCTCCCAGATGGCGTGGGCCTGTGGCAGGGTGGGCCTGTGGCAGGGTGGGCCGTGGGTCAGTACTTGAATGACTTTGCCTGGTGAGGACACACAGACAAGGTCCCCCCTGTCCAACCTGGGCCCTGCTTCCCGGCACCTGTGGCCAAGGACGGCGAGGTCTGTGTGCAGGCAGACCTGGGAAGCACTTGGCTGTGCAGGCACTCAGGACCCGAGGCCCCACGGCTGCTGGGGGACCCTGTCCAGGCTGTGCTCTCCAGTCCTGGGGCTACCCACTGGGCCATGTCTTCCTGGCGGTGCTCCATCCTGCAATTCCACTCCCTCTGTACATGGGGGGACTTTCTGGGGCCTTGAAATGGGACGCACAGAGCACATATCCCCGGCAGTGCATCCCCAGAGACACATCAGCATCAACCCGCTGTCTTTCACCATTAAATGCAACTTACATGGATGCCAATCCAATTCCAGGCAGGTCATAAACAAATACCTCTGGCTTTATTTTTAATCCACTCGGTTCATATTATGGTGCCCTCACCACGAGCAAGGTGAGCGGCAGTGCCCTCCCGTGACGGGGAGGTAAGGACCGCATGGCACACTCAATTTCAGAATCTAATTTAGTCCCTGGGCCCCGTGGATGGAGGGGAACAGAACCTCCCAGCCCCGCACGGCCTCGGTGCTGGAGAGGGCAAATCTATCCATGTGACTTCTGTGGCGAGCTGAGCGCATCCTTAAATACAGACTTCATTTTCTCTCAAAGGCTCATCTCATTTATGCGCGGTCCGAGGCGCCCAGCATGTGCGTCTGCGATGAGCTGCTCTGTGCTACCCACCTGATGTGGGTTCAAGGGAGCCATGGCTGGGCGCGTGGAGGGGGCCGCGGCCGTGCAGGGACAATGGTGCCGTGTGAACGTCACTCGGGCTGGCAGTGCATGGCTCCTGCAGTCTTAGCCTCAGCATCAGCCGGGGTAAGTACCAGGGGCGCCTGGCTCCTGCGCTGGGATGTGAGAGGGGCCTGGAACGCCACCTGCCACCCTCTGCACATTGGCTCTGTGCTTCAGGCTCTTCCACCCCCCTCGACCATGCCCCTGCACGCGCGCACACGCACACGCACAATGACTGCAGGGAGAAAGGCAGCACAGCTCAGAGCTCCAGGCTCAGGGCCAAGACCACACGGCGCAGCCCCCGTCCACCAGCAAGCAGGCAGCTGTCCACGCAGCACCCCACATCACGACTCTAAGGGCGCCTGTGTGAGGACACTTGGGCTACCAAGTACACGCACGGTCTGCGCAGCTCCTTCGACCAGGCAGCCCCTGGCGGGAAGGTGAGCTCTGCCAGCTTCATGTGAGGCCCAGACGCACACCTTGTGCACCGGCATGAGAAGGGCACAGGGTCAGGGTGACACGCACAAGCCCCGTATCCGCCCCCTCCCCTGAGCTGGCACCCCACTGCAGAGGTTCCAAGGGCACAGAGCAGCAGTAAGAACACAGATTCAGTCGCCAGAGGGACGCTGGGCCCTGCTCTGCCTCCACTCCACAACCAACCCCACGAGACTCTTCAACCTTAATGGTGTCACCTGTGCTGCAGGGTGCAGTGTTTCCTCAGCCAAGGTCGCAGGCCCAGTTACCCCATGCACCCCGACAACCCTCACTGTGCGCCGTGGCAGTGAGCTGCCTGTGCAGGAGCATGCGGGCCCCAGGGCACCCGCGCCACCCCGGCCCCCCAGCTCTGCGCCTCAAGCTTCTCCAGCCCATGGCCTTGCGGGTGGGACGGCAAGGTGCCCCCAACATGCTCAGGGGGTGACGGACACAGCGCGGGCGCTGCCTGTCAGCCTGGCTAAGCTGTTACTATCACAGCTATGACAGCAAAGCGTTCATTGCTGAATCAATTTTTATTCAAGGAAAATGCCAGACAGTTTAACAAAAATGGAGACCCAACTCTAATCAGGGAGCCTAGACACAAGCCAGGACTGTCCCTGGGCCAGGCAGGAAGGAGACACCATCCCAGGTGTCAGCTGTGACACAGGAGCTGGCCCTAACGGGGGCGGCTGTCCACAGAGGACACACCTTTCCAGCGTTGGCTGCTTTCCCAGGCCACAAGCAGGGAGCTGGAAGGGATGTGGAGCAGCTGGGATACAAACCGATGTCCATATGGGATGCTGACGCTTCTCCATGGAGGATTAGCCCATTGAGCCATCATGCCAGCCTCAGGCTGGCTTCTCTAAACCTCCACTCGCCGGCATTTCTCCACGGTGGGATGTATCAGAAACACCTGCTTTCTGAAAGGTAACTGAAGCACAATTTCCATCCTCTAGTCTCCCCGGCAGCGCTCCTCCCCAAGGGACAAGCTGTCCTCTGGCTTGGGCTTGATGTCACCTGCAGCCGTAGGCAGGCTGACACCAGCGGTGCCATGGGCTCCTCTCCCTGCCCATGTCTGCACACAGACAACCGCCAGCCCGGGAAACCAGGAGTGCATGCGTGTGCGTGGCACCCCTCAACGCTCAGCAGTCCCTCCAAGGCCCGCACGCGTGGCCCAGGCCCACGGCTCACAGCACCGCTGCCTTTGCCCCGCCACGTCTGTATCTCCTCCTGCTGTTTATTTCCTAACGAGGAGGCCCCATCTGACCTGAGACAAATGAGTCGTTTCTCTCTCAACAATTTCTTCTGCAAACTGCTGTGCCCCGGGATTTCTTGAGCATTCTGCTGTGGCAGCACCTGATGCACGCGAGGGCCTGGGTCACGTCAGCCTAATTTCTCTCACTCCTGGGGATGCCCATGGCAAAGCCAGCGAACACGGAGTGCAGGGGGCAAGGGAGTGGGCAGAGAAACGAGGGAGGCAAGGCAGCAGTGTGGGCACAGCTGCGGGGTGGAAGCAGAGAAGCCCTACACAGCGCCGGCCGCTCAGGCTGGGGTGGAGCTCAGAGAGGCGGCCCCTAACCTACCGCTGGGCCCCCCCAGATTTCTGGGATAAGGGGGTGCCACGCCTTGCAGTGCGGTGGCCACAGTGAGTGGTAGCAGGGTTCCCCCAAGGCCCATACCACCCACCCCATGAAGGCGCTGACAGCACAGCTGGCTGGCTGAGCAGGTCAGTGGGCAAGGTGGTTGCCACAGCAGAAGAGCCCAAGTACCCACGGCAGTGAGCAAATGACAGAAGCGGGCACAGACCCCCTCCCCAAGTTGCCATCAGGCCCTCTAGACACCAGTGTGGCGTATCACCTGCACATGGGTCACCATGCCCCTCCAACGGTCCCGAACACAGTGGCCAGTGCTGCAGAGGGCCAGAGGCGCCTGAGACTCAAGGACCACTGAACTACGGCAGGATGGCAGTAGACAGCTGCGTCCAAGCGGGAAGCAGCTGTTCGGAAGGAGGGCAGAGCACGGGGTGGAGGTGAGGAGGCTGCCGGCCAGGTGGGCAAGGACACTCATTCCCACCACAGGTGACCATGAGCCCTCTCGAGTGAGGCAGCAGGGGAGACACAGCAGGAGCCGCACCAAGAACAAAGGCCACTCCCACTCCTACCCACTGGAGCCCTGGGGCCCATGGACGGTGTGGGCAGCAGCTGTCATGCCCAGCTTCTGTCCCTGGGACTATTCCTGCTTCCACCCCGTGCCACGTCCCAGCTGTGACATCAGAAGGACAGCTGTACCATGGCAGGGCTGGACCCCGCAGGGCTGGACCCCGCAGGGTTGGACCCCGCAGGGTTGGCTGGACCAGTAGGGCTGGACCACAGCAGGGCTAGGTCACAGCAGGGCTGGACCACTGCCATCCCCCTGTCCTTCTCAGAGGGGCCAAGTGCTCAAACGAGGTGGACGGGTCCCACCACCATGCCTCTGCTCTGTCCTGGAGCTCAGGATGGGGCCTGCCCCTTATGGGAAGGCCAGAGGCCTGGGC